AAAATTATTTTATCTGGCACCAATCTAAGCTCTTCTTTCCTTAGATGTTAGATGTGCTTGCAAAGAGAGCCACATTTCACACTGAAGGGTGTGTACGACATCAGTAATGTTATGTCAATTCCAAGAATGTTTAAGTTATATCGGTTGATGAGGAATTTATTGATTAGGCCTATAATAGCAAATTGCATCAATTTATTTTGCAAAAACAAGGTTTGCAGCTTCAGAGGGGGGGGGGACATCCCCTGTCCGCACAAGGGCACACATTGGCGCTAACACCAGGCGCGTAACAGGGGTCTTGGGTCAGAGTGGGTATTTATTTTCCCATTTAATAATTTACCATACCCATCCCACCCCAATCCCCATAGAAAACAATACGACATAGGGCTTATCTTATTTATAATATAGGCCACACACGTGGCCTATATAAGCATTTTCATCATGGTTTTATTTATTCCAAACATATTCTTTCACCATCAATACACATTGAAGCCCTTCTTTTAGGTTAAAACGATCTATCTTAAATTTGTCTTTCTTGGTTTTGGGACTATTATGTGTTTAAATAACTTAAAAGTATACCCTTAAAAAGCACTAAATAATGCGCGCGAAGCGCGCAAAATATTTTTGTGTTTTTAATTCTAATTTCGTCGGAATTGATGAAAAGTCCCTAATTGCAATTTATAGAGGAAATTGGTCTACCGTAACAAGAAATGCGCGCAAAGAATTTGATAATTTTAGGCACTTTCAGAGGATGCATTTGTCATGGGGTGGGGAAAGATTTTCCAAAGACGAATATTTTCCCCTTGTCAACCGGTGTTTTTTAATTCTAATTTCGTTGGAATTGATCAAACTCCCTAAAATGTGCAATTTTAGAGGAAATTGGCCCAAGAAATTTGAGGTTTTTAGGCACTTTCAGGGGATGAAAAGGGCATTTATAAAGGGGTTTTCCCCTTGTCCCCCAGTGGTTACGCCATCGGGCAGCATAGATCAAAGGAGTTATGACAGTTTTTGAAGTGGTGAAGGGGTTGCAGGGTGTTGCGAGTCTGGTCATTATGATATCTTCCTTTTTATTCTTGTCTTTATTTTTCTCTTCTCTTTTTCTTTCCTTTTCTTTTCCTCTCCCATCTTTCTTTTCACTTATTACCCAGCCCGGTACGACGGCTTGGTCAGCCCGGTAAAA